ACCGGACCTATAAAATTTTCAAAAATTTTCACACATCTGACATTCGGATTAATACGTATCGCCTAGGTAAATCAAGTGCGCAGATTCAGGTTGTCAATTTGATGTGTGAAAAACGGAAAGCCGAAGGCGGCTAATTTCCTGCTCCAAATTTGGTTCCACCGTCGTTCGGAACTCTTTATGATGATATTCAAATTTAGTGTCTCGAGTTACCCTAATGTATCAACGAGACAAATAAGGAAAATGGAAATGTTACATGCCGTATGGGTTGTGAGAAACTTTCCAATAATTCTTGGATATTTGTAATTTTCGTGACTGAATCGGTAGACCCCTGACATTTATTTGTCACTGGTACCAAGTGATTAGTACTAGGACTGGACCGACAAGGCGTCTCAGGATTTTAAGCCCCATACCTCCTCACCCTTCCTTTGACGCAACGGGTGAGAAGCAGTAGAAGCCATGACTTTTAATTATCTTTGAAGAGCTGATAGCTCCGAACCTTTAAGCTCTTTCGACAGATTAGTCAAGCATCCTCGATCTAACTGACAAAGTTTATTGGAACCGTTTTTCATCTCTTTTATGGGCGTCTTAATTCACTCAGCTCAAACAAAGGCAATCTCTGAACGAAAACATTTGAAAAATGCGCTGCTCTGTTCAGTGTGCATTTGTTTGCACTTTAAGAGCCCCAACACAAGTAAATTCCTGGTTAATTCAGAATTGGCGATTCAGAATACGAATACGAATGCGTATAATACTAAAAGTCGTTTTTATTTAGAAACACACCAGCTCATTGGCAAGATTAAGCATTCTTACACTTAACCAATCAGTTAGCCGTTTTTACAATAAATTAGATTTCTGCCCCACAGTTTTACCCGCGGACTGCGGAACGTGTACGTGTACAAATTTCCCAAGCATGCATGTTGGTTATTAGTTAACTAATACCATCAAATGTATTCTCTGGCTGCTTCTGCTGCGTTTCCATTTACAAAGCCATACACAAAATGAATATCCGCTAACTCCTGATTGGAGAATGAAAATGGCATTTTTATAAAACTAAAAAGAAACTAAATTTCGTGCATTCACAATTGCAAAAAAACGTTTCAGGTTTCAACAGACAACAAAACTAACTGTCAACTAATTGACGTTTAACCTTATTCTGCTTTCAATTTCAAAAATATTTGCAGGCACAGCCTACTTCTAAAAATTATCGAGACTTTTTAACGTTATTTTATCATATATAATTAAAAATGCATCGAACCTTAAAAATCGAAATATCCCAAAAACTGCTAACTATAACGAAAATTCACAAGAGAGCTTTTTTATGTTGGAAAGTGCGAAGAATCAGTTTTTTTATTCAAAGAGCAAAAAATTGCACTAAGAAAAAATTTTCGGTCATTCTAATACACTACCGGTACAGTCGAGAGCGCCCTCTAGCGACTACAGTAAAACTTTGCCCATGGTTCGTTTTGTCGTACCAAAAAACCCTTGTATACCAATTTTCACTGTTATACATCAAATATTGTTCGAAATATTTAAAAAAAACTATTTTAGAAAGTAAATTTAAGCCACGCATTTTTCGACCCAGGTTTATATAAACTTTATGCATTGATTTTAAAAGTTCTATCGAATCTTAAAGTTATGCAACAATAAACTGGAACACCCTGTATAGGTACATATATGTATGTATAGATTATGCTGTGCAGCAAATGTGTCTGATCGGCGAATTTCGTATGGCTACATCTCGATTCCGAATAAATCAAGAATTAACGTATTGTTCGGTCTCTAATACCATTTGCGTTTACTTTGCCTGAGGCGAGCCTTAAATTGATTTGTGAGGCCCGCCACTCTGTGCTCCCTGCTACAATGCATCGCTTCGGTTGCTCCCTTTTTAAATTCGATAGAAAGGAGAATAAACGATGGATTACCAAAACATCGATCACCTTTATTGGATTTTACTCCATTGTGCGTACTCCGGAATTAACTTTTGTAGGTCTTATTTGAAGATGGAAGAAAAAATGATGTCACAGTGTCGGAGAAATTGAGTTGAGTGATGATGTGTTTTATGAGTTCTTACACCTTCCCTTTTAGCATATTAGAATATGCTTATAAGCTGTAGTATATATATACTCGTATTTGTGGGTGTTTTGGAAACTGCTTTAACAAGACACAGACGTATGTTTGACGTTTTGTACGCCCATAAGCTTACGGATTAAAGTCTGTTTCGTATCAAGCAACCAAGGATAACTTGGTATATTTATATTTTTGGCCCTTTACTAATGGTCTTTTAAAATGTAGCAATACTGCAGATTTAATTACTGGTTATAATGGACTCAAAAAATGTAACTGGGCCCGTAAACTCAACTGTACGGCATCTAATCTGGTAAAGTTGTAGTCGCCGTTCTTGTGGGGTCAAAGTAGGACTATCAGTATCCCTTTATATATCTCCATCTCCCTCAAACATACACATGCTACATACCCCTGTGTGTGAACGTTTGTTCGGTAAGCTAAAAGACATACGTTTTTTAGCTGTGTGTCTTCGTCTCGAAAACGTTGTCGTTACGTATGAATGCCCTTAAATCATATTTGACAGAGTGACAACTCACTTGACATCGGCGTGCAATTTGAGTTGTCCTGTTATTAGTCTTCAATATAAAATTGTACAATGCCCGGAAATACGATCGATGGAGAAGAGCTTATTAGAGTATTTCCAGGAAGAAAACGAAAACAGGGGTCCCGGTTACCCACTTAATAAATAAGATTAGTTCAAATCACGTATTAAAGGCAATAGGGAGTCTAAAATCTGATGTGAAGGGAATTGATGGTATATCCCTGTCAATGATCCAGCTTTGCCTGCTAGCTATTCTCCGTGACATCGTCCACATCACTTTATCGACTGTTTGGAAAAAGGCTACTTTCCAAACACATGGAAACAAGCTCTAATTACTCAAATTCCTAAAAGAATGAAACCCACTGAGAATTAATGATCTCAGACCTATCAGTTTATTACCAATTTTATCCACAATTTGAAAAAATTGATCGGTTACCTAGAAAATTTCTTTATACTTCCCGACATTCAATCCGGTTTTAGAAAAAAATATAGTACCACATCTGCCCTACTCAATCTGCAAGACAATATTTTAAATTTTAAGGGCATTAGATAAGAGCGTTAATCTCTATAGACTATTCGAAAGCCTTTGGCAGCATCAATCATAAATTATTACTTAGGTCTTGACAGTGTATCCCTCTATAGTCAACGCCAAACAAAGTGGCGTGCACGTCATCACGATAAAAATTCCCCGACCTAATGCCTAGGTTTCTATCACAAACAATTGCTCTATTGCAGTTTCATATTAATGTGATATATAAATTGTAAAATGGTCATTACTCTCTTATTATGGTTAATAGTCATATAAACATTGTTATTAAAATATCACATAAGTTGCTTTCTGATAAATTTAGACGCATTATGCGAAATAAAATGTTTTGCAAACGCTCCAATCACTTATCGACATGTAAACGCACTAAACCGATTTCGCAGCGTTGACACATTGTCACCTTGAAACTTATTTAAACTGGGAACTGACATTTGTATTAATTTTGACACTGAATCAATTTGTGGCATTTCAAATCTTTATAAATCCTTTGGCCCCGCATACTGTAAATCAACAACTGTTTGTTTCAAAACAAAATTATTCATTTTACGAGTAGATAAAGGCAATTTTCGTATATAAAGATGCCCAAACAGTTAAATAGTCGGTGTAAGGAACTCGTGGCCTCGTTAATGCACTACTTTGAGCAAGAAAGGGACAACAACGGGCCTTTGTTGCCTTTAAATGCTGTTCAAGAGGTAGGTTACTAATAATTATATGTAATGTATATTAATAATAGTGAAATTTTATTTCATTTTTTGTAGCGTGTTGCTGCTGCTTTAAAAATTAGTTTAAGGACAGTTAGTTCGTATTTCCGAGGGTGTGAAAAGTGATGCAAATTTAGAATCGCCCAAGAAAAAGCGGAGTTATATTAAACGTGTAACCAACACAGCAACATTGGATACAAGTGACCATAGGTCGCTCTTGGCAAAATGGAAACCAAAAAAGCGTGAAAGCTATTAAAACAGATGGTAAAAGGTATGTACTTTTACACAATTTGCACTATAAAATTTAAAACTAATATATTTTAGATACATTATATTACATGCTGGAAATGAAAATGGGTTTATTGAGGGTAGTGAAGCGATATTTTCTTCGAAAACAAAATTGAGCGATTACCATGGAGAGATGAACCAGGACAATTTTTTGAAATGGTTTCAACATCAGTTATTAGAAAAATTGGAGAGTCCATCTATGATTATACTGGATAACGCCCCTTATCACAGCATGATATTGAACAAAGTGCCCAACAATGCATGGACAAAAAAAAATATCCAAGACTGGTTGACAAATCAAAACATACCATTTTTAAACACAATGTTTAAAACAGAGTTATTGAGTATTGTTGCTCGGTACATAATGCTTCTTAATTATATATATTTTGGTCGACAGTTTATATTTCTTTTGTTTATTCCTATTCTTAAAATAACTGCTTTTTTAGAAACAAACCACCTAAAATATACGTGATTGATGAATTGGCGGAACAACATGGGCACAAAGTTCTTCGTCTGCCTCCTTACCATTGTATATTTAACCCTATTGAGTTAATTTGGGGCATAGCAAAAGGTTACTATAACAGACATATTGGTAGAGATGGTAACAGTGAAAAAGACTGTTTGGATATGTGGAACGAGGCTCTACAAACGGTTACCCCAGACATGTGGAAAAATAGTGTTCGACATACTGAGCAAGAAATGTTTAAATGGTATGAAAGAGAACGAATTTTTGATCGACCAGACATCGAACCTTTAATAATCAACTTTGAGAGTGATGAAGATTCAGATTCAGACAGCGCTGAAGAAAGAAACTCCGACTAACTTTATTGTACAGAAAAAGCTTACACCAGTAGCTTACCTAATTTTAGAATGCATTTTTCTGTATGAATTCTGTAAAATAAATACCTTGCATAAAATTTGGAGGACCCCATTTGGATTTTTATTCAGTACCTTTAAGCTATCAATTAAATATGGTAGTTTCATAGTGTCATCTGATCAATAATTGTCATACTTAATGATTATGCAAGTACATATCTATAATTTTATTATACTATTATTTTTGTTCTCATTTGAGGTTAATATTGCTTATAAACCTAGATATGTAAATAATAAATTTTATTATTTTACAAAAAGTTTGGCAACAATGTAAATTTTTCAACACACCCACCTTGATGACGTGCACGCCACTTTGTTTGGCGTTGACTATATAGACTATTCCAAAGCCTTTGACAGCATCAATCATAAATTATTACTTAGGTCTTGACAGTGTATCCCTTTCATTTTTTGACGGTTACCTTCACCTAAGAGCTCAGTGTGTTTTTCTCAACCAAGAAATGTGACAATAATTCCCTCAGGCGTACCTCAGGGCTCTGTATTGGGGCCGCTGCTGTACCTCATATATACGCTCGACTTAAGCAAAGGTGTTGATAATTCTCATGTCCAGTTATTTGCTCCATTATTTTAACCCAGATAATGTCAATAAACTTTACAAAACGATGTTAGTAAATTAATTAAATACTCTACATATCATAATCTACTTATTAAACCACAAAAATCTAAAATGTTATGATTTTGCGCACAAAGAAAAACATACAATGTGACACAGCTCTTGAACATTCAGATAAATAGCCAAATCTTGCAATTTTCTGATTCTGCAAAAATACTTGGTGTTATTTTTTATACAAAATTAAGGTTGATTGTACATGTCAAAAGTCTTTCCCAGAAAACCTACCTACGGCTGCGTACTCTTATAGCAAACAGGTATTTACTAAACTTCAAGTTGCGTAAAAAACTATGTGAAGCACCGGTCACATCTAGAATAAATTATTGTAATAGCGTATACTTGTTTAGACAATTTCAACAAAAACGTTAATCAAGTTATTCAAAACAATTGTATACGTTTCATCTTTAGCTTACGTATATTTGAACATGTATCAGCGAAGTATCCCGTTCTAAACTGGTTAAAAATTAACTATCACTATTCAGTTTTTGTTCACAAGTTGGTGCTCACATCTAAACCCTCTTACTTGAGGAACAAAATTTCAGTTAATAATGATGTTCACTGTAGAACTCTCAGAGAAAATAATATTAGAATACCACAGCATACGTCTACGCTTTTTAAAGGCAGTTTTTCTTGAAATTTTACTGTTATTTATAATATAGACCTTCCTAAAGTATATAAAGAATTTTCATTACCTGCCTTTCGACAAGAAGTTAAAACATTGTTACTCAACCCTCCAAACATATAATTTAAAATCATTCATTTCTTCTTTATTCCGTCTTTAATGCAGGTTAATAATTTTTTGGTGTACTTGGGTTTGGAAAGTATGCCTTTTTCTTTATTTAATTTTTACTTTCGATGTAATGAACCAAATCTGTTTGTGGATAGTGTATACTTTTGATCATCTGCTAGCGACTATATGGTTAAGTGAAAGAGTAGCAGCATGCTAAACTTCGCCATATAAATCTAACATTTGACTATACTACAATGTATAATGTGGATAAATATTCTATTGTTATTATTATTATTACTTTAAAATATTGAACAAATAACAACACACAATAAAACCTAAGACAAAAAAATATGTTTATCTTACAATTAAAATCTATGTTTCTAGCTTTGACAGCCGCAACAAAAGTAATTCTGTTTCTGAGACCTTATCATAAAAATCAGTAAATCTGGATGTAACTAATTTCAGTTCTCCAATATTCGCCAAAAGCAACGTGTTTGTTTGTACGATCTCAAATAATGAAGAGACTTCTTTCTTGTCTGGCGTTCAACTCTGAAAAAGTTGAGTCGCCGGGTGGGTGTCACCCCAAAAATGGTGAAACCCGGTGTGGCCCGCCCCCGCCCCCGCCCTTGCTACGGCACTGGGTAAAAGTAGGAATCCAGATATTTAAAACAATCTGGCAGAGTAAAATTATTACAATTTAGGGTTGGCTGGTACGGAATAGTGTGGTTCATATTTTGTTATTAAATATAACGAGTAAAGATTAAAGTTAATTCCCTGACTAAACGCTGTTGCTCGATAGAGGCAGCAGGGTCGATCCTGATGGTTAACTACCCTTTTAAGTATTTCGACGTTTATTACATTAGAGGTATTAAAGTGTTCGGTTGTGTGTAAGCCCTCGTATTAAAACTTAAATTACTTGTTTTAGTTGGGTTGTTTTGCTCGGGAAGGTTTCTGAAGCTGTTCCATACCGTTAGGCTATAACGTAATTTAGGCAATGCCTCAAAGAAAATGAAACTTGTCCAATTACTGCCGAGCACGAATGTAAAGTGACGCTGGCGTGTAAACAAACATTTCGTAGGTCGTTACAACTGCAACGGTGAAACGGCGAACCGTTTTCTATTTGAACACAAAGTTTTATGTATGATTTAGGAATAGCTGCAGGCAGGGGTTGCTTGTAATACAACATTAATTATGACTTCGCGAAGTTCCCGTAGCTTTATGGATGATGTACGGGATCGTCCGTCATTTGTGTCTGTATATTCGAAGACCATGCAAATATGGATAATTGGTCATGATATATTAGTGCAGTACGTTTAGTCGAACTATTAATTAGCAACGGCCTTGCACACCTCCACCTGTGATTAGGTAATAAATGTTAACGAGACTGATCTAACCAGCTGACAGCAGCTGACAGCGTACTTATAGGGGTGTCAAGTCGGAAAGTTCACCTTTTGATTTGAGAAAAAATGCAATCTTAATGAAAAGAAAATATATATTACTATCAACATATTTGTATATTCGGCGGGTTTTATTTGTTAAATATCATTCCGTCAAAATGTTTGACACCCCTTCTCCAGTGTTCGTGGATTATTGTAATATACCTTTGTTTTTAGATAACCCCACAGAAAATAATCGAATGGCGTAAGGTCGGGTGACTTAGAAGGCCAGTGAATGTCTCCAAACTCCGTTGTAACTTTTTTAGGAAAAAGTGCTTTCACAGTATCCATAGATTCTCTGGAAGTATGGACAGTGGCCCCATCCTGTTGAACCCATGTCTTTTTGTTAAATCGAAGATCTGTTCTTACAGTAGGGCCTCGTCGCAGAAAACAACGTCCTCGAGTCTGCGCTGCGTAGGAAAAAGATTCACATCCGTTCAGCACAAGATTTCCGTAATACGTACTTACTTTCCTTTGGAGCATGGACTGATTGGATTTTATAGGGATGAAAACCTATTTTTTTCTTCATTATTCCATGCAGTATATGAATTCACAAAGCAGCCGAATGCTTCCGTACAGAACGCCGAGGATATGCAGTGACCGAATCACTTACTCGACGCACATTTTATTAGGTTGATACAGTAGGTGTGGGACCAGGAATGGGTTGACTAAGAGCAGAGCCTGTTTCACGGAACCTCTTAATCCACTTTTTCAACAGGTTCTTACTTAAGGCATCTATTGGTCGGCGAATGTTGTATCGTGTACAAAATTTCCGAAGGGCAGCTGCGTTTGAGCCATCACTCTTAAAGAAAGCCTCGGTAGCAAAAGCACGTTGCGCTCTGGTCCGACGTTCCATTGTGACTATTTAAGGTCGCACGTCCCTTTTTTTCAACTGTGCGTTTGGAGCAGCATTATGAGCACTTATTGTCTGATTATTTCAGGGTGTGTATAAAAATAACTGATTTATGATAATCTTATGTTTTTTTGTCAAAATGACAACTTTTTTTTGCCAATTTTTTTACAGTCCCAGCTTCGAAACAAATAATCGTAAAGACATGAAATTAAGTGATTGCATTATGAATCAATAAAGGAACGTCCTTTATCGCTCTTTTTCCACATATAATTTATTTTTCACATAAAAATTTTATTTTTCTTTTGAAGGAAGACGATTTTTTGAAAGTATGTGGATAAAAGACATAAAGTACTGAAAGAACAAGCTATCAAAGAAAAAATCAACTCATTGGCTCAAACGGTTTTTGAGTTGTAGATGTAATTTGACAAATATTTTGGCAAAACCACGCCTCCCGCTGACCCCGCCCTCGGCGGAAGATTATTGGCCCTATTTAAGACAGGTGCGTCGTTCGCCATGCTGACTAGTTACCGTGTTGCCACGCGTGTGATTTATTCTTTGAGTACATAAGTGTTGTAGCTGTGACTATTTTCATTGTTTTAAGTGTATTTGGTGCTAATTGGTGTTTTGTTCTAACGTTATTCTCGCAGTTAGTTTTTGTTAAAATGCCTAAAGCCCGTGCTCCGCTATCAAGGAGACATACAGGAGGAGGAAAGAGGTGTCTACTTCGAAAGAATGCTCTAAAAGCAAGGTAAGTATTGCTTTATAGAATATACAGTGTGGCAAGCAATAATTTCTCTAAAATCATTTTTTTCCATTTGTTCGAATGACTTGACTCGGGTTTGACAAATTCGATTTGTATGAAAACTATATACTCGAAACAAATTAAATTTGGCAGGTATATTAAGTAGTAATGTAGCAACCACACATACATGGCACGGCATTTGTATTTCATCTGCTGTTATTCTAGATTTTATTATTGTTTATGCTATTTTTTCAAAAAATAGCATCCGGCAGAATTCCTCGCGGTATGCAAGTACGAGAAAGTACAAGCAAACCGATTCAAATAAATAAAAAGGTATAAAACAACCGGTAGTTAGTACATTATAGGTAATTTCTATTTATTATTGTCATTGTTATGTCCACCTTTATTTCAAAGCTCATGCTCAGATCGAATATACATGTCGTCAATAAATTTCTAATATTTTGAAAATTTTAAAAGTTCCAATCATTCTTAAATTTTTGAATATTATTAAGATTTTAAAAATTGTGAAATTTGACAATTGTGAAAGTTGTGAATATTTTATTAATTGTGGAAATTCCGAGAATTTTGAAGATTATGAATTTATTGAAAAATATAGAAATTCTGTA